TGGCTTTTTGCAACAACCATTTTTCAACATCGAGAGGTTCAGACAGAAGTCCATTGGAAATGGTTTCAGGAAGGAAGTTATCCAAACCAGTTTCGACTTTGTTTGGTGCTCAGGTTTTGGCAGAAATTCCTGATTCAATTCGGCAGCATTCACCACTTTCCACGAGGAATGTTGAGTGTACTTTCATTCACATGGGATTGGAACGAGGTCCAGTTGTACAGGGTCTCATTCGTGTGGATGGCAAAGCTGAGTTGATGCGTTTTGTAGCTAGGAACATCAGGGCTATTTCACCTTTGAGATGGGATTTGAATTCGGGACGGTGTTTTGACTCAATTTGACACTGGGACTGTAGGTAGTAGACCCCAAATTGTGAATGACAGTGGGACTGCACCAGCTGATATGAGTCAGCTACCTCCTGAAGAGTTGCGAAAGTTGAAAGGCCAGAGTTTGCCGGCACCTTCACAGCCCAAACTTGTCTTGCCAGAATCCAGCAGTGTGAAGAAGAAATCTGGTGAGTTGCGTTTGGCGCCAGCAGTGCCATTGGCAAGATCGAACGTTGCCGTGACTCCACAGGAAGTTCCAGCAGAGCCGTCTCGAGTTTCTGTCACTCCATCTCCTACGTCACCAGCAGATACTGCAGATGTAGCCATTGGTAGTCCTGAGAGTTCTGAAAGAACTTCACCTGACGTATCACGTTTTGAACCGACTCGTCGATGTCCAGCATGTGAGAGTGGCATGGAAGCACCTGGTATTAGACATAACAAGGAATGTAGAAAGCGTTTTGCTGAGTTTGAGGAACAACGGAGAAAGGAAAGACGTGTTGAACCTGCACTCTCTCAGGAGAGCCCGGTTGTTGTACCCCAGGTTCAGGTGCCAGTAGAAGAGGTCGATGATGAAGAATTGGTACCAACACCTGAGTCCGCTCGGCGACAGCCGGAAACACAGGTTGAGCACACTAGAAGGTTTAAAAGGAAAGCTGAAACCGACCGAGAACAGTTGGAAAAAGAGATCCGTGAAGATTCTGAGGAACTGCTTCAAACAAACATGGATTTTGATTGGTTTTGGGTTGGTAGTGGTGAGCCTGTGTTGGTTGCGAGTTTGGGTACACTTGAAGGTCCAGCGTCTTTTGCTCCGGCAACATCTCCAGAAATGTTTTCTGGTTCTCTTGATTCTGTTTGTTTCAATCGAGGCAATGAGCATGATTTTGTGAAGATGCGTCTTGGAGGTCAAGATGTCTTGGTTTGGAAACCTGACAGTATCATAGATGACCAGAGTTTGCAAGAGCTTGATTTGGAACAAGGTTTCAAAGGTATGCAAGAGGAGGTTAGGAACTTGGAACACTGCAAGACTGGCCGCATCATCACCCAGTCAGAACTGGACGACATGAAGAAGGCTGTTCCGAACCTTCGTTTGATCCAGTCAAGGTGGGTTGCAGCTTACAAAAGCAGTGAGAGGGTTCGAACCAGGATTGTTGCGAAAGATTTCAATCGTGGCTCCTCAGCTAGATCCTTAGGATTTAGCAGTCCGACTCCTTCAATCGAGAGTGTCCATTTGGTACTTGCGATGGCAGCGACACGGAAGATGCTTTTGCGTGCATTGGACGTGAGTCATGCCTTCATGCATAGCCCATTGGGAACTGGTGTACATGTTGTCTTGAAAATGCCGTTGTCGATTAGCTTTCCATCAGGTGAAGCGACCTACTATTTAGTTACTATTTGCTTGAAAAGGCATTGAACGGGTTACGTGATGCTTCACTGGCATGGTTGCAGCTTTTGACATTTACGGTTGAACATGTAGGCCTTTGGTCGGATTCGTTGGAACCATGTGTGTATGGTGGACAGATTGTGAAAGATGGTCATGAAATTGGGTTTTGTTTGTGTGTGGTGTATGTTGATGACATCTTGTTGTTGTCGACCACTAAGGAAGCCGAAGAACATGTGGTTGCAACTTTGGCGTCTGTAGTACCTGTGAAGACAACTGGAGAGATCGGAGAAGAGGGAGGATCCCTGACCTTTATTGGTCGTGTCATCAAAAGAGAAAGAGACTCCTCCGAGATCACTCTGGGTGTTGATCCACATTATCTTGACTCCACGTTTCTGGGTTATGGTGTTACCCGTGGGTCTGAGAATGTGCCTGACATTTCGGGACACCTTGAGAAGACACTCACGGATAGCAACTTTCAGAAACCTTTGTCAGATGAAGCATACTCACGCTTCAGGAAGGCGTTGGGAAAATTGCTTTGGTTGTCACAGGTGCGTCATGACTTGAAGACATGGATGTCTGTTCTTGGGACGCAACAAGCGAAACCGATGCACGGAACTGAACAAGCATTGAAAGCAGTTTTGAGATTCTTGTATGTTGACATGCATGCATGCTTGTGTTTACCGAGCAGAGATGAGACCATCATGAGTCAGGTTGACGATGCTCAACTGAGATCAGTCCATCTTCACTCTTTCAGCGACGCTTCACATGCGCCATACCGTTTCAACAACCGCAAAGGTGTTAGCGGTGGAGCTGTTTTCTTTGAGAGGTCCTTGGTAAGGTCTCTGAGCCGACAGCAACAAGCTTTGAGCTTGAGTTCATGTGAGGCAGAGCTCTATGGTTTGCAATCAGTGTGTCAAGAAAGTGTTGCGTTTGGAAGACTGGTTCACCGTCTTCTTTTTGCACTTCATGAGATCGATGAGCCAGAAGAAGTTGTGATTTGGCTGGAGAGCGATTCAAGCTCCGCATTGCAACTTGTGAGATCCATGGACGTGCCACGACGTTCACGACATTTGAAATAAGATTGCATTGGTTACGAGAGCAGATGAGAGAGGGTTTGTTGAAATTGAGACACAGGAGTGGTGTTGAAAATCCAGCAGATCTTTTCACTAAATGCTTGAGTGCCAAAGCTTTCTATAAACACCGTTATGCTCTTGGGATTGTTGTACCAGATGGTTTGACAGCTGAGTTAGCAGAACTTCGTGAGCTGTGTGTGTTGCAGCAAGTGTTGACTCAGGGTTCTTCAATTGCGATTGTGGAACTGTGTTGTTCGGAACATTCGAACTTGAGAAAAGTCTGTGAAGTTTCGAAGGTCCCATACATTGGTGTAGTTGCTAAGGTGCAGAGTTCTGGAACGTTGAGTCGTGTAGCTGTTTGCATTCGACAGTGGAAGAACTCATCATGTCTACCTTGGGTACATATTCATGCATCGACTCCTTGTGGAAGTGGAAGTCCGCTTCGCAATTTCAATCCGGACTCAGTCACTGAAAAGGACCAGGAATGGGATGAGATCATCAACGCGATTGGTGGTTACTTCAAACATGCAGACTCATGTTCGTTTGAGCTTCCAGAACGGAATACCATTTGGTCCCGACCTGAGACAGTGAATCTTTTGCAGAGTTTTGACATGAGGCATGAGGCTTTGGTGAGGTTGTGCAAGACTGAACGTCAGAACAAGGATGGTATTCCGATTGGAAAGACATTGAAGTTTGTTTCCAATTCAGCCTGGTTTGCACTAAATCTTCACTCCAAACTTTCTACATGCACATGTCAGACACATGCAGAACTTTATCAAATCAACTATACTGAAACAGCGTTTTACAACCGAAGGTTGGCAAGATACATTTTGATTGCAGTCAAACATGCTTCGAAGAAGAGTTGAGTTTGCGTTTAAAAGGGGGACCCTGTGACAGAGAGAGAGACAGAAGTTGGATCCACGTTTCATTTCGTTTCATTTCTGTTTGCACGTTGTTTTCAAACAAACGTTGCCAAAGACAAACAGAAGTTCTCACCAGGTCTCATTTTGTGCAGAGTTTTGTTGCGCGATGCTGTGAGATACAGTGTGTGTGCGCAGTGCAGAACAATCTGAAAGGCCACTGATCCTATCACACTTGTGATGGCGGTTCGACACTTCGTTTCACGTTCTAGGTTGACTGCTCCTAAGAGTTTAGCTACAGTCTAGTGCTTTTTCACTACCGGACGCGGTTTGGTTTGTAGCCATGGCCAAGTCTGGATGGACGGATGAAGATGAGAAGGCTTTGCTTGCTCTTCTTCAGAAGAAGTGGAACAGTGGGAATTCAGGGTCAGGCTATGCAGCCGGATCCAGTATTTTGACTCCTCTGGAGAGTCAAGGAGCAATGACAGATGGAAGCAAGCGACTTCGTGAGGCTCTGGATGATGATGAATTCGATTTGATTTCTTCGGCAGCTGAACCTTTGAATGCACAGTTGCCTGTGATGCCTACCCCAATCTTTCCTGGGATTGCCGATAAGGTCCTTGATCAGCTTACTGCTGATTTGGTGCCTGAAGGAATGAGTTTTCGAGATTGGAGCAGAACGAAGTTTGCGTTTGGAAAATTTGCCAACGAAGGCAAGACATACCGAGAGGTATATGTCGATGAAGAGATGGCAGGGTATTGCAAATGGAGTATGAATCACCTGGGAAACAAGAGTACAAGTCCAATTGCAAAGGATTGGTATTCTTTTCTCTGCGCATGCAAGGTTGTGGAGGACTCTGGAAAGGTTGGAAAGCCAAAGGGTTGCTTCACTGGAACTTCAGTGCAGAGGCAGTTGGGTGATTGAGAGTATCTTCATTGGTGCAAAGGCGAGGAAAGACTATGAGCTGGTTGTTCATTGGATGGTGGACAACGGGACAAGTTGCGCCTCACTTTAGTGATGAGCCTTTATTTACGCGGTTCATTGGTGGTGAGCCACCTCCTTCTTCACTCCCTCCTGTCGCGTCCTTCCCTTGCGCTCGCGTACGCGTGTGGCCAGGTGTGGCACTCCTTTACCTTCGTGTGGCAGCGCTACAAAGGTTAAAAAAAAAAAGAGGAACGGAAACAAACAAACAAATCTGAAACAGAAACTCTGACTTGTGTGTCGTTTGGCCTTGTGTGGCTTTTCTGAGTTTACCTGTTTCTGATTATTTGTTTCTCCGTTTTTTTCCATTCAAGGGTGGGTGGGTGGGAAATACTCTCACGACCCGTAGGTGTTGAAACGGGGAGCGTGGGAGTGAAAGCCATGGATTTGATGATTCATGCAGCTGCTTTTGGACTAGGCATGAAGAAGTCAAACATCAAACTGCCGTGTGAAAGGGAGCCAGTGAACCCTGTTTTCTACAAACGTCCAAGACTGATTGCACCGCCAACTTTTGTGGCAGAGGCACCTGTAATGGATGATGCAGTTTCGTTGCCTACAGCAGAAGCAGAAGGCCGCCTGAAGTGGTCAAGAAAAACGTCGCTAGTGCCGTGGCCTGTGGCGCAAGATAGGGCGCTTGCCAAGGCGTTGGAGAGCTGGAGGATCATAATTATGGATGACCTGGATGGGTCGCTGGTGGGTCGACAGATTGCAAAGTCGCTCAGAGGTGATGAAGGTGCACAACCAGTGGAACAGATCCTGTCAGATGCGTTGGCCGGAAAGTCTCTGTCTACACTCCGCGCCAGGGCATCGTCTCTGATGGCATTCGGAAGATGGAAGAAGGGCCTGGACCCCTCTGCAACTATTCTTCCAATTGCAGAGGAACAGGCATATGCTTACGTCAGAGAGCTCAGAGAACTCAATGCGCCAAGAACGAAGCCAGGTAGGTTTCTGGAAGCAGTTGCATTTGCTTTTCACATGCTGGGTGCAGAAGTGGATGGAACCATGAGCTCACCTAGGGTCAAAGGGGCTGTGGTGGTGCCTGTAGTGATCCCCAAGAAGAAGGAGCCTCTTACAGTCAAGCAGATTGCATTTTTGGAGAACCTGGCCATTGACGATTCTGGGCAACTGGGAATTTTTGCAGGGTACTGTTGCATGGTTTTGCACATGAGGCTTAGATGGATGGACGGTCAGTTCTGTCAACAGGAACCCTTTTTGGATTTATTTGAAGGAAAAGGCTTCCTCGAATGTGGCCTTTATCACCACAAGAATGCTGGAAGACAGAAACACTCGCAAAGGCTCCTTCCAGCTGCATGCAACATTCCCGGCATCACAGGCCAGGATTGGGCGTCAACTTGGCTCCAGCACAGGGAGCTACATGGCCTGTCAGCACAACCTGGAAAGCCGACGATGCCGGCCCCTCTTGCCGATGGAGGATGGGCGAAGGTGCCCCTCGAAGCCGCACAGGCAACTTCCTGGATTAGAGAGTTGTTGAGAAACCTGAATCCTACTGTCCCGTGGGAATTTTTGGGCACGCATTCCTTGAAGGCAACGATGCTTAGCATGATGGCCAAGGCGGGGTGTGACACGAGCCTGAGGAGGTTGGCAGGGTACCACACAGACCCAGGTGCCCGCATGCCGCTGGAGTACAGCCGTGACGGGCAGGCGCCGGTGCTACATGCGTTGCAAGCAATTGGAATGGCAATACAGCACGGGTACTTTGATCCAGATGCCTCCAGAGCTAGGCGTTGGCCAAGGAAGCCGTGCATCTCGCTTGAAATGGCGATGACGGACATGTCCAAGATGGCGACCGAAGATGGGTGGTACAAAGCAAACAACCACAAGGATGCTGGTTTTCCGGAAACAGATGATGCACTGCTTTGTGACTGGGAGAAAGTGTCAGAAGTTTCAGAAGGGTACTCTCAGTCAGAGCCGGCCGATGATCCCTGGACAGACGCTGCATCGATGTCGTCAATCAGTGATCGTGCAGAGAGACCAGAATTCCAAGGAATGGAATGCAGCACTTCCGACGAGGAGAAGGAAGCCGAGGTCGCGGCCCCAATTGTCGGAGACTCTCTTGCCAGAGACTTGGAAGTTCAGATTCACGTCAGGGTCTTCAAACATGTGATCAGTGGATGTTGTCACATTGCAAAAGAATCGAATACTGACCATGATGATGGTGATGCAGTGGTCCTGAAGTGCGGTAAGCTAGCTACGCGCAACTTCGAGGAAGTCGATCAGGCAGGAAACTATCTGCCTTATAAGTGTTCCAGATGTTTTGCTGGCTCATGAGTGTCAAAATTTTTTTTGGGAGTTTTTTGTTGACATGTCTGATTACAGTCCATTTAGCTGGTACCAGCAAGTGATGTGAGCCGTCTCAAAGTCTGGACCCCAGTGTGCTGAGTGCGACCAGAGACATGGAACAATTGATCAATGAATTTTGCTTTACAGATTTGTTAGGCTGTTTTTCTTTCATGTGTTGCAATAGTTGCACCAGTGACCCCTGTCTTTCACTCAGCGACCGTTAGCCGACTAGCGGCTTCAGCCCGTTCCGGCCTCAAGTTTGGTGCCTGTCCAACCTGAATCTTGAGTGCAATGACTTTGAATAGTGTCTTGAGAGTCTGATGGTTCGGATGTTTGTTGGTTGAGGGGCAGGGGTTTGTACACTTGAAAGATGTCGAGTTGCCTAACGTTTTCATTTGTGAAATTTTGTTTGTTTAACAGTGAGCTCTTTGTCACAACACTGTCTGCGTTTATCGATTTTGTTCTTGAAACGATCGGAAACCAAGCCCCACGCACCAGGGATCAACGGTCTCACCATGGAGCAGTTTGCACCTCAGATGCCTGTTGTAGATAGCTGCAGGAATCCAGGCTGACGGAGTGCAGACATGAAAGATGTTTCATGTTGGTGTAAGGGTTTGGCATGGAAGTTTTTTTTTTGCAGTGTTGTGCACATCGAGACAGTCAGAGAAATTGTTGTCATGATCAGTCGGCACTTGAGTGTGCGGACAGAGCTCCAGCAATTTAGCCTGGCCCAGACCACACAGTTTGCATCTCAGAGTGCGTTGGCTGCAAATCACAACCATCTCCGGTGTGTGTAAAGGCTGGTTCTGTGTTCCCCTTGGGTTGGTTTGCAATTGCTGTCCTTTTTTTGAACTCACAATGCCATAAGCACGTAAGAGTGCAAGCACATAGCTCTTTGGGAGCCTCGTGGTGCGCGAGCCCTCAGACGGTAGACGTGCACTGCAATGTTGTGAGTTTGTGACAGTCTGTTTCTTTTGCAAATTGCTGTGAGTGACTGTGCACGTCCCTCAGATTTTTTTTCAGAACTGCACGGCCAAAGTGGCAAGCGGAGAAGTCGAGAGAGAGAAAAGGGCAGGACGTTTCTTTGAGGAAGCCGAAGAAAGTCAGTGCATTTCAGTGAATCAAACATGCAGAAAAATTGGGCATTCATTGCATCGTTTGCGTGTGCGGCTTCAGATAGCTTGTAGTGAGCTGAGGGACGAAGGTCCTTGTCTTAAGTGACACAGTCTGCATGATCAAACTTCAAAATTGATGCGTTGAAGCCACAGTGAATCGACTTAATGAATATCGTGACCACCTTTTTTCTTTTGTTTGACCCGCGTCGGAACCATGTCGCTGGTAGACAGCGCTGCAGTCTTTGAGACCAGGGCGAAGGCCATCGGACTTGCAGATGGAGTTCTGAATGCAATGGCATTGAGGGGGTGGACAACTCATGCCACGTTTGCCTTTGCAGTGGCATGCCAGCCGGGAGCAGATGAGCAAGCGTTCCTGGATGGAGTAGTTGTTCCGATTTTAGGAGCAGCTGAGCATGCCGAAGCTCCAAGGTTGAGACGTTTGTTTTTTGAGTCTCATACACTTACGTCCGCCGACTTGAGACGCAAGGTGGACTCGAATGAGATGGAAGCACCTCGCAAGCTACCACCACCAGAGATAGCCCAACGCTTGGACCTCTTACAAGCCAGGATACACCCACTGAAGATTGCAAACGTTTTGGAACCCTCGCACCAGCTGATCAATGCCATAGTTCAGTGCGTTGAAGATGGAAGGGTGCGCTACGTTGAATGGTCGAAATGCACCTCAAGGACCCAGGAAGTTAACAACGTAAAGGAAGACAATGACATGCGCATATGGAAGGCTGACTCTGCAGGGTCTATCAAAGCGACATACAAGGAGCCATCCATAGTGGCCAACCTTTCAACTGAACTGGATGTACATAATGCCTTGCGCAGGAGAGGCATTGCATATGAGGTGGCCCAAGCCATGTCATTCGAGACCCACGAGAAGATCATCAATTTTTCTTTTATGAATTGAAGAAGGAGCCGATGGAAGGGTTTGCACCAGTTTCGTTACAGCAACTGGCAGCTGCTGACCGCGAGCTTCACATCAGGCTTGCCGAGATGACAAGGGCAGGGTTCAAACCGGGCCCGGCAGGTGAACTGCCATTGGATCTTCCGACGAATCAAGTGTTGGAAGGACCGGAACTCAGGTGGATGTTGATGCCGGTCCCAAAACGCAGTGTTGTCAAGGCGCCACCTGAGACACCAAAGTTGACAAAACCTGGACAGGAGGCGGATTCAAAGCGGAACAGGGTCGAACAGCCAAAGAAGAACAAGCAGGAAGCATTGAGATTGAAGAGGCTCAAAAGGACCCCCATGCCGAAGCAGCTCGCAGGTTGCACACCCTGTGACGACGAAGGCAATGCTTATTGCTTTGCATTCAACCTTGGGACCTGTTCAAGTGCCACAGATTGCGCAAAGGGCAAGCACCTGTGCTGCAAGAAAGGATGTGGAAAGAAACATGCCTACATCACAGCCCACAAGCAGGGGTCGTGACTAGGCACTGGTCAGCAGCAGCAGTGCCATGACAAAAAGGGCGAAGGCCCTGGTGTGGATCTTTTGCGAAAGCGCACCAGCTCCGCCACCTTTGGCGAAAAGCGCCATGACTTTGGATCGCAGCCGAAGCGAATGCGCGCGGAAGTGGTTCAACCTGCAGCCGAAGGGTTTCAGGACGAAGCGGAAATGTCCGCTCACAAGTCTTTTCAGAGCCATCTAAACATTGATGGCAACAATGCGCCTGTGGAAGCACATGCGAAACAATCACCATTTTTACTTGACTTGTTTTGTGGAACAGCTGGCGTTGCGGCCGCCTTCAAGGCGCTGGGAGGTGACGCTTTGGGCATCGATCACATGGTTGACAAAAGGCGAGTTAAGGCTCCCGTTGCAAAGGTGGACCTTGCACACCATGATGGGCAGAGTACCGTTTTGTCTTGGATACAGGATGGCAAAGTGGATGCAGTGATGTTAGCGCCCCCTTGCGGCACTTCTAGCAGGGCAAGGGAAATACCATTGCCGAAACACTGCAGGTTGAGGAAGGGCATGCAGCCGGTGCCCCTCAGGTCTGACAAGTGGCCAGACGGCCTACCTCACCTGCGAGGTGTGGCGAAGCTCAAGGTCAAGACTGCAAACAAGTTGTACAAGTTTTCCATGAAGGTTATCAAGCTTTGCATCCTGATGGGTATCCCAGTGATTTGCGAAAACCCGAAGAGGTCTTTAATGTGGCTTACAGAGCCTTTTTCTGAGCGGCCTGAGCAGTGCAACTTCCAGTACATCCACGCATGCATGTACGGCAGCAGCCGCAGAAAGAGCACGGCTTTTCTCATGAATTTTTCGGCTGGAAATCTGCAGACAGAGTGTGATGGCCTACACACTCACTTGCCATGGGGAATGGTAGACACCGCCGATGGAAAAGGGCTGCAATTCTCAACAAGCCTTGAAACTGAATACCCACAACCACTTTGCAAGCAGCTTGCGTTGGCGTTCTAGGAGCAGTTACAACTACAGGGCAAGGCACCTCGACAACCTGAGCATTTTGAGGACCAACTGCAAAAGATTGGAGCTGGAGTACAGCCCCGAGGCGCTCGTGCCCCGCTGCTTCTAGGAGAGTTTAAATTCAAAGTTGAGGTCACTTCAGATGGTGTGGAGGTCCCAACGGTCATTGGGCCTGAAGTGCACTTTCCGTTTCAAGGCATCCCTGTGGAGGCTAAACTGGTTTCTTCTCGAGATTTTTTGGAACAGGGGTGTGATGGCGAGAAGAAAATGTGCAAAAAGTCTGTTTTTGGAGTCTTCAGGTCACCTTGGGAGTTTTTTCCCGAGAGCGCCTGCGAAGGGTTCTTCGTAAAAAAGCAGCCGTTATACTAGATCTTCACTCCTTCACATCTGCTGATCTAGATCTTCACACCCTCACACCTGCAGATCTAGATCTTCACACCTTCACACCTGCAGATCTAGATCTTCACACCTTCACATCTGCAGATCTAGATCTTCACACCCTCACATCTGCAGATCTAGATCTTCACACCCTCACACCTGCAGATCTAGATCTTCACACCCTCACATCTGCAGATCTACATCTTCACACCCTCACATCTGCCGATCTAGATCTTCACACCTTCACATCTGCAGATCTAGATCTTCACACCCTCACATCTGCAGATCTACATCTTCACACCCGCACATCTGCCGATCTAGATCTTCACACCTTCACATCTGCAGATCTAGATCTTCACACCCTCATATCTGCAGATCTAGATCTTCACACCCTCACATCTGCAGATCTAGATCTTCACACCCTCACACCTGCAGATCTAGATCTTCACCCTCACACCTGCAGATCTAGATCTTCACACCCTCACATCTGCAGATCTACATCTTCACACCCTCACATCTGCCGATCTACATCTTCACACCTTCACATCTGCAGATCTCCTCTCGCTCTTCTTCTATTTCTCTCTTTAGGCGGGGGCGGGGCCGCCGGAGCGCCACGAAACGCAACCCTTTCGCACGAAATGGACGTTGGACGCCAAAAACTGAGGTAAAATTGCGATTTTACTTTGTCCATCGCAACCCTTTCACACGAAATGGACGTTGGACGTTAAAAACTGAGGAAAAATTGCGACTTTGAAGCGTCGCGCGCAACCCTTTCGCGCGAAATGGACGTTGGACGTCAAAAACTGAGGAAAAATTGCGACTTTGAAGTGTCCCGCGCAACCCTTACGCACGAAATGGACGTTGGACGTCAAAAACTGAGGAAAAATTGCGACTTTGAGTTGTCAATCGCAACCCTTACGCACGAAATGGACGTTGGACGTTAAAAACTGAGGAAAAATTGCGACTTTGAAGCGTCCCGCGCAACCCTTACGCACGAAATGGACGTTGGACGTCAAAAACTGAGGAAAACTTGCAACTTTTATTGGTCGCGCGCAACCCTTTCGCACGAAATGGACGTTGGACGTTAAAAACTGAGGAAAAATTGCGACTTTGAAGCGTCCCGCGCAACCCTTACGCACGAAATGGACGTTGGACGTCAAAAACTGAGGAAAAATTGCGACTTTGAGTTGTCAATCGCAACCCTTTCGCACGAAATGGACTTGTGTGTAAAGCGTCTGTGTGTAAAAGTGCAAAGCGTTTGTGTGTAAAACGCTCTGTGTGTAAAAGCGCTGTGTGTAAAACGTCTGTTGTGTAAAAGCGTCCTGTGTGTAAAACTCTGTGTGTAAAAGCGTCTGTGTTGTAAAAGCGTCTGTGTGTAAAAGCGCCTGTGTGTAAAAGCTTCTGGTGTGGTAAAAGCCTCTGTGTTTAAAAGCGGGCTGTGTGTAAAGCTCTTTCTTTTGTGTAAAAGCTCTGTGTGTAAAAGCGTCTGTGTGTAAAAGCTTCTGTGTGTAAAAGCCTCTGTGTGTGAAAGTGTTTGTGTGTAAAAGCGTCTGTGTGTAAAAGCGTCTGTGTGTAAAAGCGTCTGTGTGTAAAAGCGTCTGTGTGTAAAAGCGTCTGTGTGTAAAAGCGCCTGTGTGTAAAAGCTTCTGTGTGTAAAAGCCTCTGTGTGTGAAAGTGTTGTGTGTAAAAAGTTCTGTGTGTAAAAGCTTCTGTGTGTAAATGCTTCTGTGTGTAAAAGCGCCTGTGTGTAAAAGCTTCTGTGTGTAAAAGCCTCTGTGTGTAAAGGAGTCTGTGTGTAAAAGCTTCTGTGTGTAAAAGCGTCTGTGTGTAAAAGCGTCTGTGTGTAAAAGCGCAAAAGCGTTTGTGTGTAAAAGCGTCTGTGTGTAAAAGCGCCTGTGTGTAAAAGCTTCCGTGTGTAAAAGCGTCTGTGTGTAAAAGCGCCTGTGTGTAAAAGCTTCTGTGTGTAAAAGCCTCTGTGTGTGAAAGTGTTGTGTGTAAAAAGCTTCTGTGTGTAAAAGCGTTTGTGTGTAAAAGACTCTGTGTGTAAAGGAGTCTGTGTGTAAAAGCGTCTGTGTGTAAAAGCGTCTGTGTGTAAAAGCGTCTGTGTGTAAAAGCGTTTGTGTGTGAAAGCGTGTGTGCGTGTGTAAAAAGCATCTGCGTGTAAAAGCGTCTGTGTGTAAAAGCGTCTGTGTGTAAAAGCGTTTGTGTGTGAAAGCGTGTGTGCGTGTGTAATAAGCATCTGCGTGTAGGAGCGTCTGTGTGTGATGGCATTCTCAGTTTGGAACGCAGCGAACAAATCCTTTGCAGTGGATTGTGCCACTCTGCACCGACAAGCATAGTTTACCTCTTTACCTCTTTCCTTGGCTCAGATGTGAACGTAGAGACAAGATGCATTGTGTACAGAGTGAACATCCATATTCTTATATGTACGCTGAATGTTCGTGAAACAAGTGACGATTGGCAAACAGGTATCTTGAACATTTCTTGGACTTCTCGAGGTTTCTGTGGGGGCTGTCCCTGAGATCTCGAGAATTGCATTGTGACAATGTCAGTGTTTGTTTACGATGCAGTGGATCTATGTAAGTACAGCACGAAAAAATATATGTAATGTTTTCATGGAAATGCATGAGCAGTGGACAAAAAATACTATTCGGGCCGATCCTGACATGCCGCCATTTTTAAGTCGGGACCTTATATGCAAATGAATAACATGTGGTTTGATGATTTGATGTGTTCATTGTAAGCTTCACTGTTGACACGTTCAGCCTTCAGTTTGCAGGACTCTGCGACAGTGGTTCTTTGCCATGTCAAACTCATGCGTGGCATTCTCAGTTCTTTTGTGGACATGTCCATGATGATTGTTTTGTGCACAGAGTGAACATTCTTATTCCCATATGTACGCTGAATGTTCGTGAAACAAGTGATGATCGGACCGCATGGTTTTTGACAATGAAAATGATCTGATGCTGGTTTCGCAGTGCGGTTGATGTATTTATATATAGCATGTGTATTGTTTGCATGTTTGCCATTCTTTGATAGACGTTGTTCGGGAAGCAGCAGCTGAGTTTTGAGCTTGCAGGTCGTTCTCCAGAGGATGGTGTCTTCTTATCGCAAGCTCAGGAGTTGCGATCCCAGTCTCGAGCTTCACAGAGTATGTTTTGCGTTGGTCCATGCTAATTCACTGTTTCACGTTCAGACCATGTTGACCTCTTTGCTCTATAGATGTGAATTGATCATTCCTTGTCTTAGATGTGAGCGAATGGACAAGACAAGAGTCACGCATGGGGAAACAAAATACCATGCAGCATGAGCAAATAGTGTAGGCATGCTTGACAAGACACCCCAACGGTTCTGGCATTTCTCGAGATTTTTTGAGATTTCTGAACGTGGTTCGATCCTTACTTACAAATTGCATGTGCGTCTTTCGTTGCCATGTCTGTTGTTAATGTTTTTTTGTCACAGTTTGTCTTTTGAAGGACTTGGCATTCTGCAGAGTCTTCTATGCTGCTGAGGGGATTTGAATGTGCGTGATGCTCGCTTACCTTGAACTCATGAAGATGACGGATGTAGTTTATAGCATCATGGTACCGGCTTTTGCTTGTTTTTGTTGGCAAACTGTGTGGGAAATCGTCTATTCAAATGAACAACATGTGGTTTTAGTTGGGAATTCACGGTACCAGATTTCTTTGAAATGTGTTGCTTTGACGTGTTCATTGCAAGCTTCACTGTTCAGTTTGCAGGTCTCGGCGACAATCTTGCCCATGTCCAGTGTCAAACTTAGCAGTTGTGCTTCGAGTTTCGAAGTGCGAGTGCGTAGCCAAGTGTCAAACTCATGAATTGTTTTCAGTTTCGAAGTCCATGATGATGCAACACGGAACAAGCATAGTGCACCTCTTTACTTCTTTACCTCTTTTCTGGGCTCAGACGTGAACGGAAAGACAAGATGCATTGTGCACGGAGGAAACAAGTGACGGTTGGCAAACAGTTATCTTGAACATTTCTTGGACTTCTCGAGGTTTCTGTAGGGGCTGTCCGTGAGATCTCGAGAATTGCATTGTGACAATGTCAGTGTTTGTTTACGATGCAGTGGATCTATGTGATGTATAGCACGAAAAAAATATATGTAATGTTTTCATTGAAATGCATGAGCAGTGGACAAAAAATACTACGGGAATCATTGTACCATACAATTTTGTGGTCGCTGTTTCATTTGCTGAAGGGAATGTCTGTGCGAATGGAGCATGCGACCGCGTCATCCTCGTCGTCCGATGGCGTGGAAGTTCGGTTGCAGGAGCTGCGTAGCAGTGCTGTGACCAGGGGTCGTGAATGGCTCCAGGATGCCCTGGCAAACATTTCAGTCATGGAGCTTCGCAAAATGGCGCATGCTCGAAATGTTGGCCGTGGACCGGACAACAAGTGGCTTGCGGTTGGAGAGGTGCGCGCTCGATTGCTGGATGTCTTGGCACCACGCATGCAGGTCCGGTGGGGCAGAATAGGATTGTGACGAAAGTTGCGTGTTTGTCACATGGTGCAATGTTGTGACCGAATTTGCATGTGTGTCAGACATGGCATCATGTTTGTGACATGCCAAGGATCGACAAACAAATATCGTCAAC